TTGAGCTTCATCGTTGTTATCACATTTGTTCCTCGACGGCAAGATCACCGCTACAAGAAATTTCTCGAGTCGTGGGCTATGATGCCGATTGTTGCGCAAACGATCTCCCCTGCCGAGCCAAGATTACTTCGCCCGTATTCCAATGCCAACTTTCGAGACATCCTGGGCCGTACGACTTATTCTTGCGTTCAAGGACCATGTTCAATATTGCTGCGATGGTGGTTCAGTGTGCCGTACTTTGCCTCCAACATGGCAGTGGAGTACCTGTATGAACACCCAAGGTATGTCGGAAAGGACAAGTTACCAGAAAATAGGTACAATCCTCTCGACTTGGCCGAGTGGAAGACATCTGCACGGCGATTACGATCTACAAGTCCGCCATTCCGCTTCGGTGACAGGGTTGACCGCGAGACCTCCAGGCTGGGAGCGAGACCGAAACATCACCCAGACCACTGGCGACATGGCCAACAGTTTTCGATCTCTACCGATTGCGATGATCGCCACCCGACTGCAAATGCAAAAAAGAGCAACCCTGCCGTTTGGTCGCCGGACTTCCGCCAACGGCAGACATGGGATGGACGAGTCCAAGTCGGTTGCGCCTCAATAACTATAAAGGCCATTGCGCCCGACATCGTCCACCACCACCTCGTTCTTGACGACTTACCTACACTCATCGCCTCCGCCGTCGAGAGTTCTCTTGCCCCTCCAGCTCTCTGCTTCAGACGAACATGTCCCAACCACCGCCCCAGCCATCGCGCAGGCCGGCGAGTCACTTGTCACATGCAGAAACCCTTACCTATCATCAACCCGCTGCCATAGGCTGTTGGAGGTCAGCTGAGATCTTTCCAAAGTCTCCCAAACATGGCTCGCAATATGTCCGCAGTAGCCCAGCGACCACGGATGCTCAGTCCGCCATCCCACATCTGCAGCAGTCGCCTCCGTCATCTGGAACGATCGACATCGACAGCTTGCTGGCCCAGTTGCAAGACCCAGCAACAGAGCCGTCTTCAAGGCAAGTTATGGGTGCCCACCTCAGGCCTGGTGCATGGCTAACCGGAAACAGCCCTCTCGAGAACCTCACGCTGTCTGGCACACAGCCAAGTTCGCTCTCGTAAGCACAGCCGCAAGCGGTGGAACAACGCACTCATGGGAAATAGGGCCAGCATCACAGAACGAGCAGAGCTGCTGAAAAAAGCTCTTTCCAGACTCGAAAAGGCCCACCAGTCCCAAAAAGCCCAGAATGACTACCTGAACGAGCAGTGAGTGATCGTTTCCTAGTAGGCAACTAGTCCATATTCTGACCATGTTAGACTCGGGCGTATCACGGATGACGTAAGGAAAATCAGCAAAACCATAGACCCATCGAGACCGCCTTTCCCATCCGGCGGGGTCAGTTTTGGGGATGGAAGCCGATGATGGGCGGCAGTCTAGGTCCCAAACTCTTGGAAGGATGACAGCAGTATGTCGCTCGATGTGATTGTGACTGAGCAAGGCCTGCGTCAACGCGCCAGAGCATATGCTACATTTGTTCACATTCTGTGTTGACCGAGTAGTCAGAAGGGTCAGCCTTCCGAGTGTTTGGGTTGGGCTTAGTGATCATTGTATCTATCCTTTGATTGGTGTACATCGTCAGTCGACGTAAAACATGCGTAAAGAAGAGTGATAGCGCTTAGCTGATGATTCATGTCGGCACGAAGGCTTGCGTTCATGATCAGATTGCGGCCAGAGTGGTGTTGATTTCTGCTAGAGAAAATGTCAAAAACTTGGCGATGTTGCTGAGTCTTACTGTACGACGTCGTCAGATATATTCAAAGAGACTCCATTTTCGAGGATGGCTAGGAAGCCCCCGTATCGCGTAATACCGACTGCGCCGGACCCATACCATGAGCTTGAGCGAGCATTCCTTAGAAGGCCATCATGCATGCCGGCCACGCTCTTTTACTGTATGGTCCACGCCTGCCACTGAGAGGTGATTTCGCTCGGTCCTCATACTGGAAGCACCATCTGCTAGACAGGGAAAGCAGGTGGAGTTCGTCCTGCATATATATTTACCTAAAAAGCGCACGCTGCTTAGATGACGTGCTCTTCAACGATCCGGCCACCTTACAGGGGCTTGTACCCAAGCCGGTGCCATCAATTCTGTCGAAGTGATCAGCGAACACTAGAAATGGCTAGAAAGGAGCCGACAAGGCTAGGCCATGATGGGAAGTTATTGTTGAAAGCCGGGGCCTGGCGAGTGACGTGCAGTGCTTCTCGTTGGTGCCTCCAGAGCCGTCAAACTACATGGATTCACAATGGCGTATCGCGATTTCCAGGCGGAACTGCCAGGGCAACGTACCCAGAAAGTCAGCGTTAGTTCTGCGCACGCTGGCGCCCAGAAATCGTTGTCATTTGTGAACCTTTTTGCGAACAAGGATTGCAATCAAGCATAGCGCCTCTCTCAACGAAAACCAGAAGTTTCTCTACGAAGTGACAATTGGCTCGTGGCGTGGCCCACTTTAGCGACTACAACGATGTAGCTGCCCTGGCATTTGCGTCGTCACAGCCCAAGCAGTTGGACCAGCAAGCACCGCTGACCGATGTTTCTTTCGGTACGTACATCGGACCACAAAATGCCGTTTTAAGGGTCTGTACATCAGAAGATCTAATTTCTGTTTCGGGCGCAGAAGCATCCATAGATCCACATACGCATGCCCATTGAGTCCTGTGGATTGTAAGCATGTATCTGCTCACTCATCCTCGCCTCAAGCATCTTGACTTCGAACCCTGTCAGTGGAGGGACTAATGACTGGAACAAAATGTGATTCATTAGCAAAGTTGAATCGTCTCCATCCATCGGGATATGTACGCATGTATCTGTTTTATGTATAAGAAAAGCCACAAGCTCCTTAAACAGCAGCGTCGGCGCATGCTTCATCGCCTCACCTTCAAGACCCATCTCGGCGCCCATCGTATCACGTCTAACTTCGGTCACAGCATCCACACCAGTCTCCGACTAGCAGCCCAACGAAAGATGAGATCAACGACAGTCGACCACAACAGCGGATACACAGCAAGTACGGATGAATGGCAAGTGAAAAAGATTCAAGGACACAGCGATATCGATGGCGCAATCTACTACCACATGGCTTGGAAACCGACCTGGGAACCAGAAGACCGACTCCAGCACATGTTACCAGTTTTAGTCGATTGGAACGAACTCCATGGCTATTCCAGTTCCAGAAGATTACCGTTACGTCGATACGACCCCACTTTGGAGCACTGGTCGGGGGAGGTCACCGGGCGAAAGGAGGTCGACAGCATGACTTTCTACAAAATCAAGTGGCAGGTGACTACGGAGCCGGCGGCTAATCTAGAGAATGCCCACAGCCTTGTGAAGAAGTACTGGGATGATCTGTAGTCTACAGCTTGGGAACAGAGGGGGGCATGAAGATGACGGCGAGGAGATGTGATTGCGGGAATGGGTTGCTGTCGCGAGATCACGTAAATCAACATAAGAATATCTGCTGTGATCATTAGAGATCGTTGGAATATGTTGCGTGAGATTCGTCTTCGTGACGAGACTTAGACCACTCAGCGAAAGTGGTAGCGTTCGTTACTGGACCTCACTATGTGATATGAAAGATGGAATAATAGCTTCACGCAGATCGCTACATCCAAGGTGCAACAAAGTTACAGCAACAATTTATTGCAGGCAGACTTTCCAATCCATTTGCCTTCATCAACTTTGCCGGACTCGCTTCGGAACAGCATCGTACTCTTCCAGGTGCCTCTTTTTCGGGTTTAGGCTCTCGCTCTGCGTCACCTCCCCTGCTCCAAACCGCGGTTCAGCTGCGTCCCCTACCGCGGTCATTGCCAACGCCATCAATGGAGCTAAAGCGTCGCCCTCTAGGCTCGCACCATCGCCGCCGTGTGCTTGACCGTATGTCTCCTGCAAAGCATTCTCGAACGTGCCGCCTGTGAAGCTTGACTGCAGGTCTATGATAGAACCGGACATCTTGCGTCTAGACTCCTGCAGCGACATTGGAAACGCCGCTGGCGACACAGTATTGCATGAGAGTTCCATAGGAGACATTTCGAACTCCAGACGACTAATGCGCTCGGCTTGCGCGTTGATGGTGTGACGCTGCGTTTCGATGCGTGCTTCGAGATGTTGGGAGTTTTTGTGAAGTTGCTGAAGCTGCGCATCTTTGGAGGCGGCATAATCGCGCCAACGCGAGATGCATGCTGTCATTTCGTGGATGATGATCGCGACGAGCCTTGCGGTAAGGTTGTCGGGTCTGCCGTGTACTGGTGGCTGGGGTACTTCCATGTTGATCTTGGTTGTTTTCGGTACTGTTCCTTGATTCATCACCTGGACTGTCTCAACGACGTTATTACAAGGAAAGCAATGTCAGCGGAGCAACTAAATAGTTCGGCAAACATCGAATCGACCGTTTTGATATGATCGTTAGTGGGCACAAAGCTGGCGATGAGGGGTGTCCGCCATACGCAGCCACAACAACCTCTTGCTTAAAGAGGCAGACCCGGCTTCTACTCGACCCTCTCCCAAAACTGACTGCAGTACAGTACTGTAAGTGAATGCAAACTGACGTATCATGGCCTAAGAGAAGGAAAGTAGGGGGAAGCCAGAAGTGCATTTCAGCAGAATGAGTCTCAGGGAAACCTCCACACTGTCTGGTCCTCATGAAAGGAGAATGTCGCCTGGAGCTCATCCTCATTATGGCATAAATTTATGCGACAAACATCCATACGGTACCTCATAAGTTAGAGCTACAGTACCATGAAACAAATGTATCGCTCGCATTCATTCGAGCAAGGTTACGGATATAATAGAAACCAGCAAGCGGGCCAGTGGTTTCTGTTCGGGGACGGCTCAGCTTGGTGATCACCGACGAATCATGTGTATGGTGTTTCTCCAAGCTGAAGAGTTATTAAGACTCGGTCGATCTCGCCGTCAAAGAAACGCTTTTGCCATTGAAAGAACTGTTTTTTGGTAAGTCCGTTCTCTCAAGCATAATGTGGCAGATTGCTGTTGGTTCAGGTGTTCAGCGTGCGCCCTTGCGGTTCTCAGTACCCGGGTCATGCATTCTTCAAGGTTCCCGCGGCGATCCATCGCTCCCTCGATTCGAAGCACAGAGCGTAATCAAGGAGCCATCGAATAGGTCCTGGAAACGCCACGCGGGTCTCTCTGATGATTGGTCTACCGATCAATGACAGCCTTCGGGTGTCGCTTTAACCCGGCTGAGCTGTCTGGCTTTCACGAAAGTCTGCCAAGACTTGAACAGTATAAAAACACAGCCGTCGCTCAGGTTGCTGGCCTTTGATCTGGTTGTGATTTCGGAATCTTCCTTGAACCATCCCAGCGTCTATCGGCCCGTCGCAGACGTACTTCTTCCGACATATTTGTTAACCACCACGCCTACGAAAGTTGCACCCACAATGACGAGTCTCCGCTCGAAGAGTCCAAATACTGTCACCTTGGTCGACAAAATCAAGGCTTTGTTCAAAGAGATCGCTGTTCGGCTGACGTTCATATGTACATTGAAGTTATGCCCACCCTTATCCAAAAATATTTCTAACGTTTAGCACAGTTGCCTCTTTCAAGAAAGTCAAAGGTGCCTTGAGATTCAAAAGGGCCGGCACTGGCGAACTTGATGAAGGCCAGGTCCGCATTCAGGACGAACCTCCCTGGTGGGAACTGCAAAAACCGCCGCCTGCGGGACTTACCCCTAGAGGCACGGCCAGCAGCTTTGTTTAAGACAGCGGCATGTCTACATCGTATCCCAGCTATACAGCAGTCTAGTCTTCGTTTGCCGTTCAAAACTCTTGGAAATCACGTGAGAGACGCTACTACTAACAGCAATGAACGGGCGGACGAGGCATCTCGCGTGGTGTAAGATGTGGTCGCGTGCCGATGAATGGGAAAACATCGGTATCCCCTTATCCATTGAGGTTCAATCACCGTTCGGTTTCGCACGCATACTGCCAAATAAACGAGTTGAGATGGATGAGCTTTATCTTTGTACCAAAGTGCACGAATAACTCGTAGTCGACATAGACCAGAATGCGATGCCATTAGTCACAGCTCGTCTCCAGGTCACCGCGTCTCTGAATTCACCGCAGGAAGTCACAGTTTGTTACAGTGTTGACGATAGAGTTTGACACATGATAGGCATTCAGAGTAGATAAATGAAAGTTCCCGTCAGCCAGGCTACGATAATCGAAGCTATTCTGCTCCTACGACA